GAAACTATGACAAAGAAACTCTTTATCCGATGGTTGTACTAGTGCATTATGTACAATGTCTTCAAGCTCCCAAAGCAATGTGCATAGGCAATAAGGAAGATTTTGGCCTAACAAATCCAAAAATCTTATGTTTAATATCATAAGAACTTGCACTCCCCCATGTGGCCCAAGTAGTCACGTTTCTCTGTGTGAGAAGTAAAGTGAAGCACAGCATATGATCATCAGATCGACTCTTTGATCCGTACTCAAACAAATACTAACTTACTAACTATATTTCTTATAATCAAATATATTTTACATATATATATATATATTATAGGAACTTCTCTAACTTTTGACAACACAAATTAGAAGGGTTGTTTATGTATCCTGTTGTTCCTCTTTCACCAAACATGATATATCGTAGAGCATTCCATGCTAAATATTCTATTAGAGTGCAGTAGAGGGTCTTCCTTCTAATCTTTTTACCCATTCAAGTTAGCAAGTTTGGCCAAAAATAGAGTAGAGATATCCTCACCATATCATAGATAGTCTGCCAGACTTTGTCTTGTACCAATGTCTTAATTTAATTAGATGAAAGTTCTCTTCCTCCCCTCTGATTCCCTTTATTCCTCCCCTCTGATTCCCTTTATTCCCCTCAAACAAAATAGACTCCTTAAATTTTGTTCTTTGAGAACAAGCACTGGCACTGCAACCTTGGAAGAGAGTTGGCACGTTTGTGTGGTTACAACTTAGGACTTTGAAGAGAGATATCTAATGATGCTGGCAATTGGGGCTTCAGATCCAGGCATTTTATGGTCCTAAAGGGATTTCTAAGAGATGCTGGAAACTTTGGGGCTTCAGATCCAGGCATTTTATGGTCCTAAAGGGATTTCTAAGAGATGCTGGAAACTTTGGGGCTTCAGATCCAGGCATTTTATGGTCCTAAAGGGATTTCTAAGAGATGCTGGAAACTTTGGGGCTTCTTTTTTTTTTTTTTCCTTTTTTTTTTCTAATTACCTTATATTCTAGGATTGAGAAAAATTAGAAGTTTTTAATAATTAAAATGTTATAAATGATAATAAAAAAAATAATTTTAATAGATCAACATACGAAAAGAATTATTAAAGATATTTAAATAATTTTATAAAAAATTTAAACATTTAAAGTGTCAAAATACCTTAATTTTTATTTTTATACTTTTTCATTGAACAAGTACACGCAGGAGGCATGATTGGTTTATTGAGCTAGTCCTCCCAAGCTCGGTGGCTCAACATTGGAGATGCACTATTGAATGCATTAATTATGATAGAAACTGGAGAATTATGGAAAAGAGAAGATTTTAAAATTTCTTTATGGTGAATTCAGAAGTTCCAAAACTAAAGAAAAAGGTTTGAAGTATTTGAGGTTATTGATTTTGTGTGTGAAAAATTGAAATAAAAGTTCCAGAACTAAAACAAAGGGCTTGTAACTTTTGCTGGAATGATTTTGAAGAAGTCCGACGTACTTGCAATTCCTAAAAAAAAATGAGGAAAAGAATAATGACACCTCAAGTTTTCATCAAGTTGACAAATTAGTTGTTGGTTTGGTGGCTATGATGGATGATTTGGGAGCCATTGATTGATCTGACTTTGTTATTTAAAACTAATTTTTAAATATCTTTATCCAAAATCTCTATTTTAATCCTTAATATAAACTTGTAACTTAGTGGAAAGACAATTAAGTGTGTGAAAAGTGTAAAAGAGAAAAAAATTAAGAGGGTTTCTTCTTAAAATATTAAAGATTTGAAAGTTTCAAATCTTAATCCGCAGATTATAATTTAAATAGTGAATTGGTTTGTATCTTTGTAAGCACCTTGTGATTTTTTTTTATTTTTTATTTTTTTGTTTTGGTTTTCTATGTAAAAATTTTTAGTGTTTTTGGTTGAGGTTATCGAGGGATTAATTTTGGATTCTTTAATCCCACAGATTTTTATTTGTGTTTGACATTCTCTTTGTTGAGGCTTGTTTCTTGGTGCTTGTGTGTTTTTTGTAAGAAAGCGATAGCCTTGCATTGACCGGTTGTCTTTCTTTCTGTTATAGTATGAACATAGAACCGGTCTTGTAATTCATGTCGTCTCTTCATATCATTATAATTTCCTTTTTTATATATAGAGTTAGGTTTTAAAAAAAAATTAATTTTTACTTAAACAATCTTAAATATGTATACTTTAATGGTAGTTTAATATGTGTAAGAAAGTTAATTTTTTTATTGCTGTCTTAAAATTTAAAACTTAAATTGAATTGTCAACAATTTAAATAATTTAATAATTTTTTTTTTGTTGGAAGTAAAAAATCATTAATTTGAATTGTGTGACATACAAGCAAGATGTGATAAGAGATAAAAAATTGTTACATATTCTTGTGCAATCAAAATAAAAAAATAATTTAATTTATAAAATTATATTTACTTATCAATAAATTCGAATTTTAAAGTTAATTATAACCTTATTGATCATTAATAAAAAAAAGTTTAATCAAGAAGTTTTTTCCTATCACATTTTCTTGCTTTTTGGGCTCGAACTAGACTTTTCTGGGTTACAATTGGAGCTAAGTAATTGATAGAAATTAAATTTGAATATGTCCCTCGTTTGACTCAGCTAAACGACACTGTCAATAAACGAAATTGTCAAGTTATTGACACAAAAGAAATTTGACGCGCAATCAACGCTAAACAGCCCATTTGGAATCTACTGTAATACACCAAAACTAAACAAATAAAATTTTTTGTAAAATAAAAACTCAAGGGCACAAAAACAAATGGTGTGGGACAACACCACTTTTTTAGACCCCAATGATCATTGTTGAATTAACAAATACAGCTCAGCCAATTTTATAAGATGTTCCACCCACCCTTGCAATTCAGTGCAGACAATTTTTATAGTTAGCAATCATTATTTGTACTATTTTTTTTGCTTGTTGTAATCTATGCATAGACTTTTTCTTTTCTTTTTGCCAAGGTAAAGCTTAAAATTATGTAATAAAGTATCAATGATTTAAATAATTTAATTTTTAATTTTTTTTATTAAAAATAAAAAATTTTAAATTTAAATTATATAATATGTGAGTGAAATAAAATAAAAAATAAAAGATAATTACTTTTTAATATACAATAAAAAAAAAAGTGTATAATAAGGTTACTGAAGTTTTATGTAATTTTCAATTAAAATTACTATCTTTAGGTTTTCTTATATAAGATCGTCAAGACATCAAATGGTACGCAATTCTAAGTTTAACCATAAAAAGGCCAATCCTCATGAGAATAGTGTTTTTTACTCATTTAGATGATATAAAAACGTATTGGTTTAGGTTATAAAAATATTAAAATGTCTTTTAATAAATCTTATTTAAAAATAATTTATAAATATTTTTACAGTTCAAATGAGAAAAAAAAGAAAAGAAAAGAAAAGAAAAAGCCATTTCTGAATCCCCATATACCAAAAAAAGCTTCTCCAAAAAATAAAAAGGGCTAATCCTCCACCCTCAATCACTCTGCCTTTCCCACTGCGACCAGAGTGAAATATGGTAGTAATTCTATTGCACTTTGTCACTTTTGTTTAGTTTAAGCCACAAAAACAGAAACAGTCATTTCTAATTTTTAATTATTTTACTTGATTTGAGATTCATTCTTGAAATTAAAAAAATGTATGCACATAAACAAATATTATTAATTATTAAATATGCACTATCACTTATACAATCTCAAAACAAACTCTCCTGCAAAAATAAAAAAAAAAAAAGGTTTCAAATCCTCTCAAGAAACCTGCGTTTGATCAATAATTGTACCAAACCCAGACTTAGATGCCTAGAAATATGACATGTTACCATGGCAATCACATCTCACAAAACAAGCTAACCTAAACAAGTTAACCGTCAATTTATTAAAAAAATTAAAAGATTCATTTACCAAAAAAAATAGAGGAAAGTAGACAAACAACGGTCGGAAACATACATTCAATAACTCCCGATTCATGATTGGCCAAAAATAAAAATAAATAAATAAATAAAAAGAAAGAAAAACTAATAAAGAAAGTAGAGGTACTACATATACGAAGAATCCACCTGACATTAAGTATGATTCTTAAATAAAGACGTTATTTCATATTAAATTCAATAAATATATA